CCCCGCGCGCCCGCCCCCCCCCCCCCGCGCGCCCCCCCCCCCCCCCCCCCCCCCCCCCCCCCCCCCCCCCCGGGTTGCTTGAGATAAAGAAACTAGGAACTCAAGACTAACGTGGGACTTCGCGTCCTAATGAAAGCGTAGAAGGAGGTAGATTTGATCCTACCCGGATCCGAGGAAATCGACCCCAGTCTTATACTAGTCTATTCCGTGCCCAAAATGTCCCTGAAAATGTTATCTGAGTCGTACTCCGTATGCCTCCTTCATGTTTGTGGGCAGGAGCTCGTATTCAACCCCGCTCTCTCGTTACTTGCAACCCGATCTCGTATTCATATACGGAGTATGTTAATCTAGCCTATATTTGGCCTACTTCTTCGTATTCCATGAGGCTCAAGCGGCCTGTCACCCGGGGAACCAAATGGGGGTGGCTGATTTGGGTATCTCTGCCCATAGCCAGCAAGTCTGGGTTTGTAACAGGCGAACTCACCAGTCCATAATAGGAAGGTGAAAAATGGTGGCCAAGAGAAATCAATATACGGAGTGTGTAGAGTAGAGCAATGAATCACAGATTTAGGGAAACTGTGCAGAGTATCTGGAAAATATATCTGAAATATATGATGGAGGGTGGCTAATATATGTCTCCTTATGAACTATACCTGACTAGGAATATCACCTATTTAGGAAAGAGTGATTTAGCCTTGGACGACTCAAATTTATCTGCCAAGCCCCTAGCAACTCTTCCTACTTTTGCAGAACCCCTCCTCGCTTTGCTTGACTAAACTATGGGACGGTATGATAGGATTAGTGAGCATTGAACAGCATTGGTCAGAGTCGACTCTTAATTTTAGAGTAATATAAGCTGGCAGCGAAATAACTATCAAACCCCCGAGCTCATTGGTTAACCGAAAGAGAAATATAATATTATCCACTAAGGCCCGTCATTTGATCCAGATATAGCGGGCATAGGATCTGAGTCCGTGGTAACATCAACAGCAAAACTAGCCTGTATAAAGTCCTCTAACTCTTCACTCACAGTCTTGAGCTTCTCCTTGACACTCGCAACACCTTCTTGTCCAACAATATGCCGCGAAGGAGGGTTTTCATGGCCACCAATTGATGTAATGGCATATACTGTTTCAGAGACCAGCACTTCAAGATGTGCGGAGCTTAATGGTGGGTGCATGGAGACAACTTCTGGAGCGGAGAATGGGCCATTTTCAATGGAGCTAACTCGGGCGTTCTCATCGTTTGTTGGACTTGGTGTGACTGGACTCTCAGATGAGACAGAAGCACCGGGAAGTTGGGGGACAAGGTGGTTTAAGATTCCACGGAAGAGAGGCGCTTGGTTGCTGGCGGGTGAGTAGGCGGGGAAGATTGGAGGGACACTGGTTACTAGGTTGGTGAGGATGCCAATTTCGATGCTGCATTGGAAGATGGTGAGTTTGATGTTAAACGGGGCAATTTCGTAAGCCAGACTCTGTAAAATAGATTAGGTTCTGCGCTAAGGACAACTCCAGAGATACTGACATCACAGAATCCTTCAAGGGCCCAACCCGCTGCGCAGTACATTCCTAGTCCGGGTGTACCGATATGCGCCGCTGTATATCGTTAGACCAATATTCAAGCAAGAGACAGGATATATTTCTTACTGATCCCTGATATTATCATCACATGCCCAGCGCGCTCTTTCCTCATATGGGGGAGCGCAGCTTTGATGATATTGAGGGGACCGAAATAGTTAACCTCGAATTGATCGCGTACAAGATTCATGGTTTGAGTTGAAGCAGAAAGTTCCTCAACTGTTCCAATCAGGGCTTGGGGTAGGTCAGTATACTGTTTGAGGGTATCTTCAGAAATGTAGGGTCACCTTGACTTGTACAGCATAGAAGTATGTCTACTCTTCCAAATGTAATGACTGCATCTGCCACGACTGCCTGGCACTCTCCCATCATTCTGTGCCAAAAGACTGTCAGCAATTAAGATCAGAATTCATAATCGAGATGTCTGCCTTAATGATCGCACCGGATATCTAGCGGAACTGTCTTCATGCGCTGTGCCCAGCCATCGTGTTGCCCCACCTCATCGAGAAAAGCATCAAATTCATCCCGGCGACGTTCATCCCGTTCCAAAGCTGTATGTGCTAATCCAAGAAACGCATAGTCTCCATGCGCGAGGACCTGCCGCGCGACTGAGAGGCCAATGGGTGAATCCCCCGCGGTGATCAGCCATACTCGAGGCTCATTATGCGACGGGAATTGCACGCGGGCATCAAAGGGGAGGTTATTTTCCATGAGGGTCAACGCCAACAGTCGAACGCGCTATCCATCACGCGATTGCAATTTCAAAGCTGCTTAATAGCAAAGTATAAGAATGGAAGATGCCCGAAGGTCGGAAGACAAATGCCAAGACCGAGCAAGTTCCCGGGCCTCGATCTAATCGCGTGCTAATCGCCCACGTTAGCTGGCCTTTTGGCTTCTTCTTTTCTTTTCCTCATCCATCATGTCGGAACAAAGGCCACGCAGACAGGAGGAGTCATCCGGTGTATGTGTCGCTGATTCAATGTTGTTGTGTTCAATTTACTGACTCCCTTTAGTCGGGCTTCAAGGGGGCCCTTCAGGGTCTTGGAATCTTCTTGTTGGTCCAATTTGCCATCAGCCAGTACATGGGAAACAAGGACAAGACAGACTCTCCCAGCTTGAATTCTGATGGCATCCCTGCATTTGCCGATCGCCCCGATCCCAGCGAAGTCGCCGAACACAGTGCTCTTCCTGAGACCATCGCCCCAATCTGGCCCTCCTCCAGCGCTGTCGATCTCAGCATTTATGTAACCCCGTCTATCATTGTGCCCAACTTCAAGTCACCGGACAGTATTCTTGTGGTAGACGAGAAGAACTTCACAATTGGAAACTACAGTGACACTCGCGAAATCGACACCACCATCAAGGTCCCAAAGCAGGTCCAGCAGAATGGAACTCTCTGGGCTCACTTCTTTTTGGCTCGTACCGGATACCCGCTAGACCCAACCGCTAAGAACTACAACACCGCTGATGCAGTTCACTTCATCCGACCTCTGAACCAGTACCTCCCCAAGAAGAAGGTCAAGAAGCTGAAGAACCTTCTCTCGGGCCCCGAGGATGATCATGACCAGGAGGAAGATAACACCCCGGATATTTCAACCATGTCATACTATCACCCCAACTTCACCCTGTCCCTGATCCCAGACTCCGGAGTTCAGAAGTTGGCCCAGATGAACCCCGCAGCTCGCCAGTATGTGCAGCTCGAGCGGACTGGTGCCCGCGATGCTAGTGGAAAGAATGGATGGTACTACCCTATCGCTTTCTTCAACACCTTCTGGCAACTGAAGACCCATATGACCGAGTTGAACTCTACCGTCGAGACCGTGCCGTTGCATATTACTCTCAACAACATGGCGAACTGGAAGTTCAACATCATCAGCAGTGTTGATGAAGGCTCGAAACAAAGTTCCCGCCAGGCTGCTTATGGCAAGCCTGCTCCTGGTGGTGGAGATGGAACTGAGTGGGAGATGGTAAAGGAGGTTCTCTTGGATACGAACATTTGGCTCCTCTGCACCACGGGTGTGGTCACTATCTTCCATATGTTGTTTGAGACTTTGGCCTTCAAGAACGATATTGTAAGTGATATCTCCCTATCAAAACGTGTGGTATGTAGCGTCGCTAACATTGTCACTTTCTAGGCCCACTGGCGTAAGAAGAAGGACATTGTTGGCACTTCAGTTCGCACAATCTTGGCAAACGTCTTCATGCAGGCTGTCATCTTCCTCTACCTCATGGACAACAGTGAAAACACCTCTTGGATGATCATGGGCAGTCAAGGATTTGGTATACTTCTGGAATTCTGGAAGATTACCAAGACCGTCGACGTTCGCTTGCGCCCACCGCCAGCCAGCTCTTGGTTGTCGTTCTTGCCCTATGTGATTGTCTTCGAGGACAAGCACAAGCTTAGCGAGACCGAGGAGAAGACTAAGGAGTACGATGAAATTGCGTTCCAGTACTTGTATATCTTGGCTGTTCCCCTCCTGCTCGCATACGCCGCGTACAGCCTAGTCTACAATACCCACAAGTCTTGGTACTCTTACGTTATCCAGACACTGGTGGGCAGCGTCTACGCCTACGGCTTCCTCATGATGGTCCCCAGTCTCTATATCAACTACCGGTTGAAGTCTGTTGCCCACATGCCCGGCAAGGCCTTGACCTACAAGTTCCTGAACACCTTCATCGACGATCTCTTCGCCTTCACCGTCAAGATGCCCTGGCTCCATCGCCTGGCTACTCTCCGCGACGACGTTATTTTCTTCGTCTGGCTCTACCAAGGCTGGAAGTACAAGGTTGACTACAAGCGCGTCAACGAATTCGGCCAGGGAGGTGACAGTGACGAGGAGGAGGAGCCTACTCCTGCTGTTGAGGGTGACAAGAAGGAGGAGCCTACTGATGCTGTTGAAGGTGACAAGAAGGAGGAAGTGGCTACCCAATCCTCTTCCAAGACAACTTCTAAGTCGTCTACTCGCAAGAGGAAATGAACTGCTCAGATGCAGGTCTTTTCGGCCCATAGACCGATGAACCAGGGATCAACGCCTTTGCATAATTAGTAAATCACTCGATTTCACTACTTTTGGCATGATGCTGGTGAGCATTGGATCATAATTATTACAATGTCGTAGCAAGCAATGTTTAATTCCGATCCTTCTAATTGAGGATTCCTCTAGAAAATCACTATAGAGTTCCGGTCTTTATTCATCCAGCACCATAGAAGTACAAGAGAAAAGAAACTAACAATTATGATATGATCAAATAATAGACGAAGGTCGAAGTCGTTGTTGATAATTACCCGATTAGGCTTAGGGCAATTTTCGCATCTCCGCGCCCGCTTGTTCTTCTATGCAACTGCCGTTGGATACATCTAAAACATTCATTGCTTTGATTCTATTAGTTTCAAGACTATTGCCAGGAATTGCACACAACCAACCAGATTGTTGTTTTTCGACGCGCCCCAATTGAGGACGAAGCATCGCGCGACTACGCGCTAATACCACCATCCCAAAGCAAAGTACATTCTGTCATTCTCGACGACACACCAATTGTGGCAATTTTACAATAGAATTCATGTAGATGGATGTCGACATAGGTCAGTTCTGTTTGTATCCTTTCAGTTGAACCACGCTAACAATTATCCAGGAAGCAACCGGCCAAACGGCCTACTCGATGCGGTCGAGCACTTGGAAGCTGGTATGGACAAAGCCTCTTGAGACGGAAAAACATGTTACTAATGCAATCTGGTAGTTGCATTTGTGCCCCCTAAGCAGAGATACACAGATGCCAGTCTACTAGCCAAAACCATCGCTTCAAGCGCGTATGAGAGCGGCATTCCGCAACCCGTGCTGGCCCGTCTCCTGAAGATTCTGACCACGAAGAATAACCTAGACCAGGGCACTGCTACAACGCTGATCAAAAACCTGTACCCCCAGGAGAGGATCGCGTCTAAGAATGTCACTCAAGTGGTCTGCTGCCTTGGGCCCAGCAAGAACAAACCGAGCCTCGCCACACAGGCTTTGCTATTGCGCTGGCTAATTCTTGCGTATGACCTTTTCGAAGATAGGACGCATCTCGCCAAGCTTTATGCTGTACTTTTCAATTATTTGGACATGATTAGTTTGCGGAAACCGCTGTGTCACCTTCTCTCACTCATCACAAGACGAAAGCACGTCAAGCCATTCCGCATTCAAGCCTTGATGGAGTTGATACATACTGCTGGTGGTGAAGATAAAGAGCTTATCAGCCTTCTGAGGATTTTCAAGAATTATTACCCCGAGATCATTCTCGGTGAGTTCGGAGGATCGAGAAGGAATGCCCTCTTCTTCAAACACCCAGACCCGGAGTGGTCAAGCCATGTGAAGGTGCTGCAAGATCAGAATATGGAAAGAGTGCAGGCCGGCCAGGGATCGAGTTTCCAAGTTGTTCATCGAGGGACTGTGAAAAGAAGTAGGATTGAAGTGGTCATTCCGACTCTACAAACTTCACGGGTATCTCATAAGCACACGTCGCTGGAGGAGCTTCGTGATATTGGCCATTTTGTCGACAAGCTTGACAAGATCGAATTACCAAATCAGATTATCTCAACTCTGGGGGATGCAATGGCTCAGAAATATCTTCACCTGGTCCAATCCGAACTTGCAAATCATCGTCTAAATGAGTGGCTGAGAAGTTTCCTGGAGGATAAGCTGGAATTGCTACGTGAGGATGAGGATGATGAACCCGAGACGTTATCATATGTGTTGGGTTTTGTTGTGGGGTATGCATCCTATATCAAGGTATGGTTTTCAGACAGATCATTGTCAATTCAGACATTAACCAAATATTAGGACCTCCCATCCTCGATACGTTCATTCTTGAAGTCTTATCTGGAAACGTGGAATGGCAAGGATAATCGTGACCACGTCTTCCGGCTTCTCCAGTACATTCCCATTGAATCTTTCGCGTCGCTTCGAAGTGAATTATGGTCACCATTGGAGTCAGCTGTGTTGGACGAGAGTCTTCGTTCCAGAACAGCGTTGTTGGGTTTCTATTCAGCCTTAATCAACCAATGGGGTGTGAAACTCCGATCACAGTCAGACAAAACAGAAGAATCGGTGTATCTCAGTCAAATCATCGTACACGCCGAGCTCCTAGCCTCTTCGATTCTGGAGTTCTCGGTGGAGGATGAGGATAAAAAGTCCAAGCCAGCTACAGTCTCTGTGCTCGACTTCTACAAAACCCTTTCAGAACTCTTTTCTCATGCACCACAAGACGCCCGATTCCGCATCACACTTCCGTACGCGCAAACCGTGTACACACTCGCCTTCACGCCTAGCATCGCCGTGCTCTCAACCCTCAACTCCATATTGGCCGTCTACAAATCTGCATTCGAGGCCTCTCTGAGTTCACAAGTTCTCCAAGCACAAAACTCCCCGGCTTATGGAACAGATCTCGTTGGTCGGTTCAACGGATATGTCATGGACATGTGCAATGTGCTATGGCGCAACCGTGCACTTAACACCGAAGACCCGAATGCGCTAGGCTGTCTCGTCCCAGCACCGACTACCACTGCGTTGACAAACTATATCAAGGGCCTGTCCGAAGCATCCAAACACTATGACCGCGAAAGCGCTTTCCACATTAATCTTACATCTATATTCTCTCTTAGTCACCACGCTGCAATTTGCAACCTGTCTGCAGCTTGCTTTGCGGATCTGGAAGAGGACCAGCAAGTTGCGGATGACCGCCCGAAATTCAGAAAGCCAGTCACCCAGAAAGCGCTACAGGCGCTGGAGAGGGATGGCGGTGCTAAGATTACATGGCAGGAGTACCGTGTGCATATGCTGGACTGGTTGGATGCGATTGGGTGCCGGGGTACTGGCGTTCTGATGAGAAGCACAATGAAGGCTTTGCGCAAAGAGTAAACTCATAGTCGGATGAAACTGAACACCAGTTCTAGAAATGAAATTTCTCATAGCGCCATTGAAATGCTTGGTATCGGTATAATACATATTGTACATGCTCGGCTCTCGATATGAGACAGACGGCAGCATAGCGGCGAAGAGGTCAGAACTTCTCTATCGAGTTCAGATATATATCTTGAACACTGGGATCTTCCCGCAGAGCACTCAATAGGTCCTCAAGATCTTTCGCTTGTTCCTCGTCCTTAACCACGACCATGCTGTCCCGGTTGGGATCCCAGAATATCTCCAATTCGTCAATGCTGAGACCTGACAATTTCGCGAATGTTTCGCCCACAGTTTTTGTCTCTGACGGATCGGTCAAGATCACGAGGCGACCCTTATCATCGGTGGTGATGTCCGCCGCTCCTGCTTCGATCGCCTGGTCCAAGTAGTCGTCTACATTCGCACCATCTTTCTTCTCCATAACAACTCTCCCTTTCCTCTCAAAGAGGAATGTAGTCGGGGTGACGATTCCTCCATTGTCTTTAATCATATAGCGAATGTCCTGTAGCACGCGCGCCTTCTGATCCGTTTGACACTCTACAACCGCAGCCACTGAACCAGGCAGCATAGCCTCAATTGTCAGAGATTCTAGTGCTTGACCCGATACACTGAGTCCTTGTCCGCGAGCGATTGCTGCTTCGATAATGATTTTCGGGATGGAGGCTCGTTTCGCATTCGACAACGCGAGGGCTAGACGAGGATTGTACTTCGTGTCGGGTCCCCACACTAGAACATAGTATTAGGATCTGAGATATGCAAAATTGAACGGCCATACGTACTCTGTGTAGCATTGGCAATTTCCTTTCCCACTATTTGGCGTTCCCTGCTCTTGGCCTTGTCGTTTCTGGCCTTGTCATGCTTAATCGTAGACCATTTGTTGTGACCGGAGAGGATAGCCGATGTGGTGCTGAAGTAGCGACACTCATGACAAGCAGAGTCAACCCAGCGGGATTGTTGCAGCAGCCTGCTAAGTCTGAGAGCCATAATGGTTTTCCTTCTCCATATATTGTGAGTTGTAGAGAAGATCGGATCGCCATTGAGATTCCCTCGGGCGGCTGTTTATCCGATCTCCGCGGACAGTGAGGCCACACGATAAGGGGAGAGACCTGGGGTTGACGCAACTACTATGAACTAGATATTTCCACCTTTTTTCCCTTTCTTTCTTGCTTATGGAGCTACGCCCGCACTGAACCTATCTCATGTCTTCCTCCGATACAGCCCCAGCACCCTCCCCTCCACAAAATGGGGTCCCTGAGCTCGATGTCCCTAAACTACACGCCCTCCCCTCTGAACAACAGGAACTGTACATGCTTACGTTCACCTCCGACCTCGTGCAATACATATCTGAATTGGAAGCCGCAGAGGTTACATTGCAACAAAAGGATCTCAAAAAGGAATTGTTCAAGATCTTGAACCTCCCTTCACCCACTATCACTCGAGTCCTCCGCAACAATCTAGGGCGATGTTTTGGCGGAATACTCAGTAAAGGGGATCGCGGGATCCTCTTCGAAACAATCACAGACCTGCTGGCAATTGTGAATGCTGGCAAGAGTGAAGCCGAATTAAAGATTAAATTTGCTGCGGCGCATTGTTTAGGAGAGGTCTTTGCGACAGCTGGTGAGAGTGCGTTCATGCAGTCCAATGTTGCGATTTCGGGCGCACTCAAACTACTGAAATCAGCGAACAACCACACCGGTCTTAGAGGAGTTATCTTTGCCGTGCTGCGCAAGATTGTGGTTGGAATTGGAGTTCCCATCGATGAAGCAACCGCTCGCGACATCTGGAAGCAGGCCCGCAACGCTGCTATCAACGACAAGTCGACTTTCGTCCAAGTCAATGCGTGCCGCTGCCTGGAGCAGTTGGTCACCACGACCCCATTCTTCGATAACACACATGACTTCGACCACCTCAAGACCCTTGTATGGAAGGTTATCGACAGCCCCGCCGCGCCAGTGCGGCACGCCGTAGCTGCGGTTCTCGGTCGGGCATTAATTAAGCTACATGCTACGGATGCGCACATCACAGCCGCCCCGAAACCGAAATCGAAGAAATCGAAGCGCATGTCGAAGAAACCTGGCGCGGGGCTTGGAGATGAGGAGGATGCCGAGGTGTCAGAGTCATCGGTCCCTAAGAAAACCGACTCGCGCCTGTACTTCCTTCTTCCAGACTTGTTGAGGCAGCTTTCATCCCAATACCTGAAGAGTACCACTTCGAATCGCTCACGCGCGGGGATTTGTATGTGCTACAAATATGTTGTGCGCAATCTGGGAGACAAGGTTGTCGAAGAGCGTTATGGTCAGATTGCGACGAACTTGCTTGTCGAGTTGTTGAATCATCCAACAGTCACATACAATCGTTTCCGCCTCCTTATGACTAGGAAGTTTATCAAAAGTATTCTTGAAGATACCATTGGCCAGGAATTGCTGCGCGAGAACAGTCAACTCAATGCCGCAACATGGCTCACCAACGATATCCTCAAGGACTACCCCCAGGTTATTCAAGAACGTCGCGAACCCACCAAGTACACACTGACGAGTGCGGTCAGCGCTCTGTCTTCGTTGATCTCATCGCTTGGTTCCGCCTTCAGCGTTCAGGCTGATAGCTGCCGAGATGCTCTGCTTCAAGTCCTTCCTCACCCCAGCTACACTGTTCAAGTCCACGTTGCGCATTGCCTGCGAAACTTCGTCCTAGCCTCCCCTCACCAGCTGTTGTCATGTGTGACAATCTGCATGAACAGTTTGAACAGAGAAATCGGACAGCTAGGCACCCCGCGCCAATCGCCTCGCCGGTGTGTTGGATATGCCAATGGATTATCTGCAATGCTAAGTACTTCTCGTTTGCAACCACTTTATGGAGCAGTGGATGTCTTTGCGCGCGTTTTTACCCAGGCAACCGATCTTCTTAAGACAAGCAGCACCTCCGAGCTTCGGGTTGCGAGCATCCAAATCCAGGTAGCGTGGATTCTGATTGGAGGTTTGATGCCTCTTGGACCAAGCTTCGTCAAGACTCATCTGTCTCAATTGATGCTTCTCTGGAAGAACGCTCTGCCCAAGCACCTCGGCAAGGAGAACGCTGCGCAGCCAGGTACAGTTGAGACCAGTTTCCTGACTCATGTGCGAGAGTGTGCACTAGGCTCGTTGTTGGTGTTCATGGAGTTCAACAGCAAATTGATCACATCAGATGGTGCAAAGAGAATTGGTGCGATGTTGCAACATACGGTCGAATTTTTAGACAACTTGCCTAAGCCAAAGGCTATGGAAGATCTTTCACAAAGACTGCACCCATCCCTGCAATTGCAAGATTATTCAACTATGGTCCGCCGACGTGTCTTGCAGTGTTTTACGAAGCTTGTGCATGTCCATCCACCTAGCCATGGGGATATTATTTCTCAATCCAGTCTTCTTAGCCTGGCTATTTCTTCATTCGCAGACCCAGATGCTCAGTACAAGCAACTAGAAAGCTCTATTTCTGGCTCCGCCGGACAATTCGATGGTTTATGGGATCTATGTGATAATTATGGGTTTGGTGTCACTGGACTCTGCCGAGAATATATTCGTGCTACACTGTCTGGCACTCAAGAAGACGACAAGAGTCCCGCTTGGTGTGCACTTGACTCTGTGGACCAAGTTGTGGACGACACCTTAACTTTCCCTATTTGTCAAGCAAGCGAACACGACGCGGTTCTTCTATACAGTTTGCGAGATGGAGATAAGCTTGCTGTTGATCCCCCGACAACAGGAGTTGTCAACTCGGCAATCGATTTGTTTTCTGTGGCTCTTGCTCTTCATTCGTCCAAAATCCAGGAAAGCAGTGTCGAACAGATCGCTACATTCCTCACTTCTCCTGGCCTGCAAAGAAACCCCGGCAGGAAAGCCGCATTGGTCGTCAACATCTCGGTCGCCCTTTTACATACTCTGAAAGTTGCTGTTAAGGAGACAGACTTCGTGCCTGGCAAGCTGAATCCATCTACTGATAAAATTTTGCAAGAGCTTCTCCAAAGGTTTGTCATAGATGCTGATCCTGTTGTTCGCACAATTGGCGTTGAAGCACTTGGACGGCTTTGTGATAGTGCTGGAAATGCGTGCACCAATACACAAGTTAATTGGCTTGTTGATACCATTGTCGAGAACAGAGAACCTAACGCAAGAGCTGGCTGTGCTGCCGCCTTAGGATGTATCCACGCCCAGATTGGCGGAATGGCAGCTGGTTTGCACCTCAAAACGATTGTTGGTGTTTTAATGTCTTTGTGTAATGATCCTCACCCTGTTGTCCATTTCTGGGCTCTTGGGGGCTTGGAAAGAGTTGCTAACTCCGCTGGGCTGACATTCTCGCCTTTTGTGTCCGGCTCTTTGGGGATGCTTGCTCAACTTTACAACGCTGATACCCACAACGAGGAGGCAGCTGCGTTGGCGACCTCCAACATCGAAATGTCATTTTTGACACCGGTCGTGATCAGCCGATGCGTGGACTCTCTCATCAATGTTCTTGGGCCGGACCTGCAAGACATTGCGAAGACCCGAAATCTCATTTTAACCCTGCTTCGCCAATTCCAGTTGGAGGAAAACTCAGCATTGGTGACGGAAAGTTCCAGATGTTTGGACCATTTCTCAATGTATGCCTCCAGTTATGTCGACATTGCGGCATACGTGAAGCGACTGCAAACCGAGCTTCGAGCAGGCAACACCCTCACGCGAGATGTGGCAGTTCGTGGACTTAACAACCTCATGAAACGAGACGCACCATCTGTAATACAGACAGCGGGCCAGTCTTTGGAAGATGACATTTGGCTTGCATTTGACGAATCGCCGAACAAAAAGTCACTGAAGTCAATGATTCAGGACTGGCTTCAGCAGACGGCTTTGACAGAAACCGAGATGTGGATCCAACGTTGTCAGAACATCATGACCAAGACACGCCACAAGGCAGAACTTACGCCTATCACAGCTGTTCAAACTACAGCTGCCGATAACCCCGATGACGAGGTTGCCGGGTTTGCATCGGCTGCTGGGGAAGGGCAAGGTGATGCTGCGAACGGAGGCATCTCCAGCCAAGAATTATTGAAGTGGCAGACCCGCAATTTTGCCATGAGCTGTCTCTCCGAACTTCTGGCTACTGTCCAGGAGGCAATTCTTCCAGACTCTGCCATCCCAGCGGAGTTGGCTCTCCAGAAAAACGTCGGAGATATTGTGAGAATGGCCTTTTCGGCGTCTACCGCCAATGTCATTGAGCTGCGCGTATGGGGATTAAAGATCATAGACCAGGTTCTTAAGATGTTCGGCAAGACACCGGATCCTGACTTTGCTGAAGCCTCGCTTCTCGAACAATATCAAGCCCAGATTGGGTCTGCACTTACTCCTGCCTTTGCTGCCGATTCCTCTGCAGAGCTGGCCTCGGAGGCTATTAATGTGTCTGCAACTTTCATTGCTACAGGAATCGTAACAAATGTCGACCGCATGGGGAGAATTTTGAGGCTCTTGGTGCTGGGCCTGGAGAACTTCGCGAAGAATCCAGAAACTACTGAAATCGGTGATCTTAAGGGTCTCAACTCAAATGCTCGAGTTATGGTAAAGCTCGCTTTGTTCTCGGCCTGGGCCCGGCTCCAGATCGCAAGCATCGACCATGAGTACTTGACCCAGGTGGTTCAACCTTATATTGCAAAACTCACGCCTTTATGGCTTTCTTCTCTTCAAGAATATGCTCGATTGCGCTTTGAGCCAGACATTTCTGGTAGCTTGGGGACAACGTCGAGCGGTGACCTGGATGAGGTGTATGCGGCGTTGAACCGCGAAACTTTGTTGAAGGTAAGCCCCGATGTAGTTGTTGTAATTCGGCGAAAGCTAATAATATTATCAGTTCTACCAAGACACGTGGCTATACTTGGTTGATGCGATTGCTGGGCTCGTCGAGAAAGATATCGACTTTGTTTTCGATGCTTTGGATGGCAAATTACAGCTACCCGAGGAGCCTAGCGGCGTTGAGGGCGAAGAGGAAAAAGAAAAAGCTCCCGAGAAGGAAGAAGGGAAAGGACATGATATTAATTATCGTGAAGAGCCGGTCGCATTCTTCTTTGTCTTGTTTGGACTGGCTTTCGAATCTTTGGTTGATCAGGGAACTTCGGCATCGCAACGATTGGAGATTCTTCAGGCGCTGAAGCGAATCCTGAGGCCGGTCATCTCTGGAAACGCCATCTACCAAGATGCAATTTTCACAGAGACCATGGACAGCTTTGGCCGTCTTGTGTTGACAGAAGCTACCCCCATCCAGACTGTCATTGTCGAGATTGCCCAAAACCTGTCACTAGACCACCCCGCAGCAAAGGGTGATCTGGAACGCAGCGACCATCTTTCCGATGACATTGAGCAACTCTTCGAGCTCACAAGAAGCATCATTCTAGTTCTCGCTGGAATGCTTCCCAATCTCCGGGAATCGACACCGCTCGCGCGGTTCAACGTCAGTTCGGATGAGTCTCTGACTCTTATTCGTTTAGCACTTCGCTCTCTTGTCGATGTTGCATCCGTATTCCCATCCATCATTCGCAACGATCTCCACGCTTGTATCCTGCATATTTTCACAACTATCCTCGCAACTGGAGTTTGCCAAGAGTGCGTAGTTCCCCAAGCTCTTCCCATCTTCAGGCAATTCGTTCACGGCATTACCCACACAACAGAATCACCCGAAGACCTTGAGGTCGTGTCATTCCAGCTGCGGGGATGTCTCACGCGCTTCCTGACCATTCTCACTATCGCTCAGCGACGAGAATCGGATATCTCTATTCCCTGCGCCAAGAACACGCTTCTCGCCATCACTTTCCTGCTGAGTGCCGGGGCACACGTTATCCCTCCCCAGGAGCCAGTCTTGATCCGAGTTCTGGATGAGTTGCTTGACTGTCTTCAAGACGTTGGCCTTGCCACCGTGGCAGCTAGCTGCATCCGTTCAATTCTCGTTAAACCCGGCTCTCGTTCCATTACCGACGAAGTGATCAGCCGATACCTCGTCCCGCGACTGATTGCCTTCATGGTTGCCTGCCCTCTAGACAATGGTGATATGCCTACGGACCCCGAAAACTCCCGCACGGTAGTTGCTCGCACGCTCGTGTCGTGTATCTCCAACGCCACTTTCTCCACTTCCGAACTGCCCGCCGCTACATCCCTAATCATGTCGGCACTTTTGGCACGCGCCAAGCGTGAAGGCGAGTCCGTACACCAAGAATCCGCGAGCCATCTCCTTGAGCTTGCGAAGGCCGACCAGCTCACTTTCCGGACGTTGGTGGCTACCATGAACACAGACCAGAAGTCACTGCTAGAGGAGGTTCTTCGAAGTGCCGGAGTCGGAGCTGTTGCTTCGAAGACTGGTGCTGATGCGGCAGAGAATGCTCCCCAGGCTGTGCCTAGTATAGCATTGCGCATGGACTTTTAGGAACGTTATACGGAATCAAGACAAACAAAACACTTTATGATATAGTTAATTGGCAAATATTTCTTATATGCCCTCTCGGAAGACGAAGCCCTCCGAGGCTCCGATCACTTCTCCTCCATTTCTCACTTCTCCCCTAGCCCAGACGGGCCTAGTGTTTCATCATCCTGGGAACCCGATATTCGAGCAATTTAAAGCGTTTGAGGGAATACTCGCATCTCCACTTTAAATATCTGTAAACTTGATGAGCTCCTGCTTGCCCCTGGATCATACCCCCTAGCCCCCACCTCTTTCCCTTCGAACATCCCTCATGTCTCGCAAAGTCCTTATCTACATCACATTTCAACACAATCAGGACACTCTCAATATCCACCACAATGGCCTCTCGCTCAAAGCGCGATCCCACGATATATTCCTTTATGAATAGGGCTGATCTAGTCGAGGAACTTCTTAAGGAGGATGGATTCACAACCTGGGGCTTCGTGATCTTTTATTGTATATACTATAACGACTCTGACCGGGAGAATTTCATAGCTCATATGGTCGGTGCTGTCTCAGAAGACCTTAAGGAATACAGTGGCCTTAATCTCTTCGATAAATTCGCCCTAAAGATACTAGAAGATCACTCCTTTGAGTATGCTACAGTTACCACCCTACGCGAGTACTTCTATTAGTAGAAGAAGACTGTATTAAAAGAGGAATAGGGCGTAAGCGAAGACTATACTCTAACAAGCGGCCGATACCGCTTCTTTATTACTATAGACTAGGAGGCTATGGAGTCCGTTCTAAACACCCCTATGGGAGGGTTCGAAGAATATAAATTAGGGTATGTCTGTATGGTTAATACTGAATAGAAATGGACAGATACACCTGAAGAGGACTCTGAGGACGAGGATATATCAGAGCCCTTAAAGGGTATACTAAGGATGACGTAGGCTGGATGAATATACGCTGGCGTATTGTGCAGCTTCCGGGATTCTACAAGATGACTGAGATTGATGACTGGCAGGCGTATTATGTCCGGTATCCGGAGCTCGCAGACATAAATTGATATCTACCCGTGCTGGAAACAGAATTTGGTATCTAGCACTATTAAACAGTTTCTCCAATCGCGTTTGGGTTGAATGAGCTAGTAACATGGGCGCCGCGGTAGAGCGCGGCTCAGAAGGAGCGTACGGAGAGATCACGTGACCTGAAACACCCAACGACTAAACAATTAGTTGCGTCCCAGTATAGCTTAAACACCATTCCACCATGACAAAACCAGATGACAATGGAGCGATTGGGGTTGCCTTCAAGCCATAATTTCACACAAATACAAAACACATCGCAATCCAGTTCCACAGGCTCAGAGAAGAAGTCGCCAATGGTTCAGTGAAGTTTGTGCGAATCCAATCTTATGTCACAGTGGAGTAAACCTATCATTTTGCCGTTTTGACCTTGCAAAGTCTTCAAATATCGCTAGCTAACATACTTGGATGTATTTTCTAATATTTGTATACCACTCTCGAGCAGCAATGTTTGATTTTTGAAGATGGTGGGCGGTGTGAAGCCGCAGAAAGTTATGCGGTAGAACTGTATCAGGTGACCTTCCCTTCCCGTCTCAGTTGTAGTTCCTCGTCTACATAGACTTCAACTTCAGATCATTATATGCTGGAATTCCTGTTTTTTTTTTTTTTTTTTTTTTTAAAAAAAATAAAAATAATAAAAAAAAATAAAAAAAACACCAGAAAAGGGAAAGAGAAAAAAAAAAAAAAAAAAAAAAAAAAAAAAAAA